TGGTGTTCTAATGGTGATTTTCTACTTTCCTTGCCCCCCACATTCACTAATTGGAACTCACCTGTAAGAAGACATGCCCCTTTCAAACACTATTTCTATTTATTCAATCATTTATTTTTGCAATATGGACTCATGAATGTGTATTTCATTCTTTGGTTCATAATCCAATACTACATTTATTCTGTTACTTAAATTGTTCCAGCTTGCACCACAGGGACTATTCAGGGTTGGCTCCTTGCTTTCTGTCTTTTCTCTTTTCAAGCTCCTCCTTACTTTCTGGCACAACAAAATACCCCAAGAACATCTTTTATTTTCCCCTTAAAAGCCCTGGAATGAACCACTTCTCCAAGGACCCTTGGTTCCTTTTTTTGGAGAATGATATTTAGAAACCCAGATTTGCCTGCTAGATGTGCTCATTAACATATTTAATGGCAAAAGATGTTTTTCTCCGTAAGATGGGAGACAAAGCCAGAATGTCTACTCTCAGCACTCCTATTCAACACTGTAGTGGAGGTCCCAGCCGATACAATACACAATAAGGCAAAAGAAGAAAGAACTAAAGTAAAACTTTTTATTTGCAGAAGGTATGATTGTGTATGCAGAAAATTGTAAGTAATCTACAAAAAAGGCTACTACAACTAATTCTTGCAAGTTTACAGAACACAAGGTCAATTGTATTTCTATATACAGGCAGCAAAATGGAGATTAAATTTTAAAATACCATTTACATCACAAAACATGAAATACTTAAGGATAAACCTTACAAAATATGTGTAAGACCTAAACATTGAAAGGTATAAAATATTACTGAGAGAAATTAAACACCACCTGTATTAGTCCATTTCTGTTGCTTATAACAAAATACCTGGAACTGGGTGATTTATAAGAAAACGAAATTTATTGCTTACAGTTTCTGAGGCTGGGAATTCCAAAGTCCAGGGAACACATCTGGTGAGGGCCTTCCTTGGTGGTGGCTTCAGCAACACAGGGGTCTCACATGGCAGAAAATGGCATGCTTACAGTTTCTGAGGCTGGGAAGTCCAAAGTCCAGGGAACACATCTGGTGAGGGCCTTCCTTGGTGGTGGCTTCAGCAACACAGGGGTCTCACATGGCAGAAAATGGCGGAGCAGAGAGAGAGCGAGCCCCTCATGCCCTCTCCTTTTAATGCCCTCAGAACCATGCCCACGACCACCATTAAACCATCAACTTGATCACCCCTTCAAGTCTCCACCTTTCAATTACCATAATAGGTTTTCCCATTCTCAACAGTCACATTGCAGATCAGCTTCTAATACATAAAACTTGGGAGACACAGTTCAATCCTTATCACCACCCAAATAAATGGAGAGGTACACTGTGTTCATAGGTCTGGAAGCTCACTGTTAGGATGTCAATTCTCCCCAAATTTATCTACAGATTCAACATAATCTCGCAGAAAATCCTAGTAGACTGACAAGCTGAGTGTAAAATCGATATAGACATTTATCTGGACAAATTCATACCATAAAACATCCTGCCAGAGAATCTTAAAGCCTGAAGGTACTTAAAGGATCATAATCTTATGCGTAAAATGACTTGTCCATTTCCACAAAAGAAGCAAAAAGCAAACCCAGGACCAGAATGTGGTTCTTCCACACGGCGGTACTATGCTCTTTAGAGTGGTACACCATGCTAGAGTAATTAATATTAGTTCACTTTTTTACTCTGCCTAGGGAGAGATTCAGATCTCCCCTAAAGTTACCAGCATCTCTAGATTTGCCATAATATATAGAAAAATGGCCAATAACACTGTAGCAATAAATCTAGAAAAACAATAAGTCTCCCAAAGCTTATTAATAAAAATACCTGATCTTAGAGGTGAATTTACCTCTTATAGTAAATTACACATTTTAAAGACATAAGGGCTACATAAAAATGTTTGATTTTATAAATTATTTCATAATTTATACTGTCCAAAGCACTAGAATTTTAACTGTATTCATTAAAATAGCTACTGGCATCAGACTGGTTCCCATAATTAATTTTTGGTTTATTTGTGAGATGATACAAACCCAAATACACTCAAACACATTGTCATAGCCTTTCAGGAAGAGCCTCAAATTGAAGGGTGCAGCTATAATGCTGTTCCTCCTGCAAGCACGTATGAAGGGCTCAGGACCTCAGAGCCTCTTCCGACCTGCAGCGATGCCATGAGTAAGCCTGCAGAAGGCAGTCCATGACCAATCTACGGTTCATGGAAACACTGTCATTTCTTCCTTAAAAAAGATACTGAACACCTTTGCTCAAATTAAGTAGCATCTGTTTTTATCAATTATAACAATTTAAACTAATTTCTCCAAATATGTCACCTAAAGTTACGTGTTGGCAGCTCCTCCCTGCCCGACTTGTCAGCCCCTCTAATTCCATTCCCGCAGGTGGCATGCCTAGCCCAGTGGAGCAGGAGGGTAGGCCTTACTTCTTTACTGGGATGCTGGTTGGGTTCCCAGAGCTTTCTCCAGGTGATGCCAAACTACCACTTAACATGAACAGCTGGACACTGGTAAGGAAACCTTTGTAGCATAACATTAGTCCCCTCGTAGGACTGGAGACGGTCTGTGTTTTGCACCTTCTTTCAGTTAGCAAGGCCACATTGGTGCCCCAACCACTGTCTCTTAAAGAAAAATTTTCTTTTCTTTATTTTTATAAAGTGAGTCCTCTCCGGACAAGGTGTATTGAAGGAATGATATTCAGTTGTAGCATATAGTTCTGTGTGCCAAAGAAAACCTCTGACCATCTACTATTTCAGGGAGACATAGAAAGACTTTGATCCTTTTCAGGTTCTTTTGTAGTGTACTGATAAGACAAGAACAGTGTCCAGCTCACAAGGGGCTTTCCTGTGTACACATGCAACTCAGAGGACGTAACATTGTCTACATGAAGCTAATAAACACTCAGGACACTTAAGAATTATCACATGCTACTCACAAGGGTTTTGAAGGATCTAGTACTTTCCATAGTGCTCTATACATGTTTGTAAAAACTCAAGATAGGTGAGTTTAACTAGAGGTATGCAACTAGTTACAAAAAAGGGATAGAAATCACCACCCACCCCAATATGAATAGCATAATGCAGAAACAAGTACCTACAGCTCCTCATGACTCATATGATGTCATTCTATCTTTACCTGAGGGGTTAATTTTCAGAGAAAAATATGGAAAGCTGAGATAAATTGAAATGGATGAATTTTTTTAAAAAAAAGTTAAATAAAAGAGCTGGCTGTTTAGCTCAGTTGGTTAGAGCATGGTATTGATAACACCAAGACACCAAGG